TCGACACAGAAAACTTGAAAAAAACGACAGTGAGATTGCTTTTAGAATATTTACAGTTTTCCGGATTTTTTGGGATTCCTCTGCTTTAAATTCGAAAGCCAATGTCAGATTTCGATTCTACAGAAAAATTTCTACCGGAATTATGATTTTGTATAATTTCTGGAACAAAATTTGACCATGTGAAGTTGAATTTTACTTTAAATAATTATAAAAACCAGTTTTTTTTAATTTAGCGCTAAAATCACAAAAATTGAAATTAAAAAAAAGCGCCCTACGGATTTTGATTTTTCTTGTTGAAAAATATTCAGTGAGGTACCCCGAACAAGTTGCAACAGGAATTTTTGAAAGGGAGAATGTTGAGGGTTGAGATTGGTTCCAGGGTACCGTGAAGTGTAGTGCCTATTTTTATTATTTTACGTGTTATTATACTCATTTTCTAACCAACACTGAATGAACACTGAAATCTCACTGATTTCATTTATTTAATTTTATAATAAATAATTGTTATTTTTCAATAAAAATAACAATATTTAATCATTAATACATCTAAAATCAGATACAATTGAGATAGATGGGTTTTTTATTCATTTCATGTTTTTATTAGCAGGTCACAGGGTCGGCGTCGTTTTTGGAAATTTGTTAACTTAATATAATAGAAGATGTTTCGTTTTAAAATAAGAAATATTAAAATTATTAAGTTAAAAACAATTGATTTCAGTGACACTTAAAAATAGGTTCCTAACTAAAAACTTAAAAAACAACAATAAATAGTTTAAAAAACCATAAAAAATTGAAAAAAAATTGTTTATATGTAACTACCCAGTAAAAAAAAATAATTGAGAGTAAGGAAAAATAATTGGGATTTAGCTTACTTTGTATTCGGTTTGGCGTCTAAACCGTGTAGGGACGTTACGACCAATTATTTTTTCTTACCCTGAATTCTTTTCAATTTCAATTTCATTTATTAACGGGACATGCCCTTTCGTACAAAAGTACTCCTAAATTCTAATAGTTACGTAAGTAACAATACAAAATATAAAATATTAACTAAATCTAGGTAGGCGCTATAATGGTTAAAGTTCAGTATAAGTTTATACAGTAAAGAATAACATAAATCAAATCAAAGGAGAAGATTAATTTTGATAAATTGAATCTGCTTTACCATTATATCAATTAATTTCAAAAATAATTGTTTTTGTTCAATAATACTGATTTTCTCTAAATCACAATGTCTACATTCCTTAAATCACTTTCATAGATAGAAATAAAATAAGTTTATCTCAAGGAAGGGACACAACCTTGGGCACCAAGTGGGGAAATCACTATAGATTCTCCTTACACGCATCTATTTGGACTGTAAGAGTCGATGTGCGATTTCTAGGGGGGATTTTAATTATGGTAGGGATTCCACGCCAGTAGACCATTGACACATTCATTTCTCCGTCTAATCGACGGGTCTCTAGTTCCTCCCTCACTCTCTTAATCTCCTCCCTCTGCATAACCGTCCTGTCATTCGACATCCAAAGATCTTCCAACTCCCTTGAACGTGTTGAGTCTCTTTTGACACTTACAAATTTTTTTAGAATTACTTGTGCTTGTTACTTGTGTTTTTTGAATTACTTTTCACCTGGATTGTTTGAATTGATGTTTGTTGATCAACGTATGCATTACAAATGAATAGAATGCATGTTCCGAAGTATCAAAATGCCGATTTGGAATAAGAAATGTAAAATTTTATGAAAAAGACAAAATGTGAAATATGACTGATTTATCGACAATTTTATCATGTGAGTAGTGCTCGTATGGTACATTTATCATATGAACACTACTCACATGGTAAAATTGTCGATAAATCTGTCATATTTCACATTTTGTCGTTTTCATAAAATTTCACATTTCTTATTCCAAATCGGCATTTTGACACTTTGGAACATGCATTCTATTCATTTGTATTGCAAATTTTGATCAACAAACATCAATTTAAACAATCCAGATGAAAAGAATTCAGGGTAAGAAAAAATAATTGGCCGTAACGTCCCTACACGGTTTAGACGCCAAACTGAATACAAAGTAAGCTAACTCCCAATTATTTTTCCTTACTCTCAATTATTTTTTTTTTACTGGGTATTTAAAAATAGAATAATTTTAAAGGTATATATCCAAAAATTCGTAATAAATTGCATAAAATTGCAAAATAACCCTTTTTCGGGTTAAAATTAAAAAAACATGTTACAAAAAAAGTATGTAAGATTTTCTTAAAGCATATGGCAAAGTATTTTGATTTATTTGAAAATAAGTGAAAATAGATTTTCCAAGGACGGTGTCGAGATCACGAGGGCGGAATCGTTTTTGGAATTTTGTTAACTTAATATAATAGAAGATGTTTCGTTTTAAAATAAGAAAGGTTAAAATTATTAAGTTAAAATGAATTTATTTCAATGACACTTAAAAATAGGCACAATATTATAGGTTCCTAACTAAAAATTTAAAAAACAACAGTAAATAATTTTAAAAAACCATAAAAAATTGAAAAAAATTGTTTATAAGTAACTTTTTAAAAATAGAGTAATTTTAACGGTATATATTGAAAAATTCGTAAAAAATTGCATAAAATTGCAAAATAACCCTTTTTCAGGATGAACATGCAAAATAACCCTTTTTCGGGTTAAAATTAAAAAAACAGGTTACAAAAAAAAGTAAGTAAGATTTTCTAAAAGCATGTGGCAAAGTATTTTGATTTATTTGAAAATAAGTAAAAATAGATTTTCCAAGGACGGTGTCAAGGTCACGGGGTCGGCGTCGTTTTTGGAAATTTGTTAACTTAATATAATAGAAGATGTTTCGTTTTAAAATAAGAAATATTAAAATTGTTAAGTTAAAAACAATTGATTTCAGTGACACTTAAAAATAGGCACAATATTAAAGGTTCCTAACTAAAAATTTAAAAAAAACAGTAAATAAATAAAAAAAAATTGAAAAAATGGTTTATATGTAACTTTTTAAAAATAGAGTAATTTTAAAGGTATATATCCAAAAATTCGTAATAAATTGTATAAAATTGCAAAATAACCCTTTTTCGGGTTAAAAAGTTGAAAAAAATTGTTTATATGTAACTACTTAAGAATAGAATAATTTTAAGGGTATGTATCCAAAAAATCGTAATAAATTGCATAAAATTGCAAAATAACCCTTTTTTGGGATGAACATGCAAAATAACCCTTTTTCGGGTTAAAATTAAAAAAAGATGTTACAAAAAAAAGTAAGTAAGATTTTCTATAAGCATATGGCAAAGTATTTTGATTTATTTGAAAATATGTGATAATAGATTTTCCAAGGACGGTGTCAAGGTCACGGGGTCGGCGTCCTTTTTGGAAATTTGTTAACTTAATATAATAGAAGATGTTTCGTTTTAAAATAAGAAATGTTAAAATTATTAAGTTAAAAACAATTGATTTCAATGACACTTAAAATTAGGCACAATATTATAGGTTCCTAACTAAAAATTTAAAAAACAACAGTAAATAATTAAAAAAAACCATAAAAAATTGGAAAAAATGGTTTATATGTAACTTTTTAAAAATAGAGTAATTTTAAAGGTATATATTGAAAAATTTGTAAAAAATTGCATAAAATTGCAAAATAACCCTTTTTTGGGATGAACATGCAAAATAACCCTTTTTCGGGTTAAAATTAAAAAAAGATGTTACAAAAAAAAGTAAGTAAGATTTTCTATAAGCATATGGCAAAGTATTTTGATTTATTTGAAAATAAGTGAAAATAGATTTTCCAAGGACGGTGTCAAGGTCACGGGGTTGGCGTCGTTTTTGGAAATTTGTTAACTTAATATAATAGAAGATGTTTCGTTTTAAAATAAGAAATTTTAAAATTATTAAGTTAAAAACAATTGATTTCAATGACACTTAAAATTAGGCACAATATTATAGGTTCCTAACTAAAAATTTAAAAAACAACAGTAAATAATTTAAAAAAACCATAAAAAATTGGAAAAAATGGTTTATATGTAACTTTTTAAAAATAGAGTAATTTTAAAGGTATATATTGAAAAATTCGTAAAAAATTGTGTTCAGTGTCAATTCTTAAACTGAGCTACAAATAAAATCTTAAAACTTATTTTTTTTGTTATCTCAAATGACACATCTGCTATTTTATTATTTTCTATCATTTAGTGCGAAATATACTAAAAGTAATTTGAAATTGTCAAGAAACTAGCCGGGTACGAACCCAGGTAGACTCACAGTACTCAAACCGGGCTCTTAATCCCTTTATGACTCTTTACCTCGACATCTTAGCAGATGAGTCCAATAAAATCAAATGTGTTTTTTTTCTTAAACATACCATCTTCAAAATTTTTCTCATCTTTCTTAAAAATATATACATTGTTGCCAAATATATAAATTGTAAACAACGTTGCCAAATTTTTCTATCCAACCTTTTGAAGCATTTTTCAAGGTTTTTGGATCAGTTATCTGTCTACCTCTGAGAGAGCACGTCGCTAAGTGTAAGCTCTACTCATTAATTGCAATTGAAATCTTTTAAATTCAAACATTTAATCTGAACACTTATTAAAAAACTAAACATTTTATTAAAAAAAACTAATTCTGACTTTCCATAATAATTATCAATTAAAAATAAATTAAAGTTTAAGTGAACTGTGCCTTTTTTTATTCCTTTCCTTAAACCAACAGATTGAGTTGCTCACGAATTCTAATCGTCAGCAATAGCTCTCGAACACTTTGACGTACTAAACAAGTATATTCAGATTTACAACCTGAAGAAGGGTTAACTTCCAATTTCATTAAAAATAAAGGTAGTGACTATCGCGTCAAATAACGAGACATTTTCATGGTCCTTCGAGCCGGATTTGGACAAAAGATCAGTGAAGTGATTTTTCTTTTGCTACAAATACGCAATAGAAGTTCGGAATACAGTTAATTAAGTGACTTTCTTTTGTTAAAAATAACAAATTGAATGTGTGACAGATAACTCAAGGTAATACACACAGTGTTTCTCAAATTAACTATTCTTGTGAGGAAGATATACTGCTGTGACTAAAGGACAATACTAATAATTGGAGCACCTGCAGTCAAGGGGTTAAGAAGTAGCTGAGACTGGGATATCGCCATCCACCTACCAACCATTATCAAGGACCAGCAAAAGGTAAGCTCATCATCTTGTTTGGAATTGTCAATCCTTTTTTATTTCTAATTATTTCTCCCTCTTTCCTCTCGATCTCGATAAATAAAAAATGGTCGAATTAGACGAAACACAAAAGGCTAGACGAAACAGCTTGGTTCAAAATCGTGCAAATTTGAAGCGTAGAATCACAAAATTATCAAATTATCTCAAAGAAGGAGGTGTCTATGCAAACGCGGAACACGCGGATCGTCACATGTCCATTATAGATTTTGAATTAACAAAATTAGTACAAATTCAAATGGAACTCATTCAATTAGAGCCAGGAAAAAATCATGAAGAAGAGGAAGAAAATATTTACTTCGACTATGAAGAAATTAAAGTTTTAATTAGAAGACTTAAAGAACCTAATCTTGAAGTAGAAATGCGAAATCGCGCATCCGTGAACTCTAGGTCGGGCTCGGTTTATTCACATTCAGCACCTTCAGATTACCTATCGTCACTTCCGAAAATCGAAGCAAAAAGATTTGATGGAACTTTAGAAAATTGGCGAATGTACCGTGACTGGTTTATTCAAACCATTCACAATCGCGAGAACTTAACAGACGCTCAACGGTTAGATTATTTGAAAAGAACCCTCACAGGCGAAGCAGAAAAAACAATAAGCGCGTTTCAACCATCAGACGAGAATTATGCCGTTGAATGGAAATTATTAGAATCCACCTATGATATTGAATATGTCCTTATTTTTCGTCACTGCGATCTACTTTTGGAAACTCCTATAATGAAAAGAAGCTCCGCCGACGAAATTCGAAAATTGACGAACCATATTCAAACTCAATTACTTGCCATGAAAGCATTTGGTGAAAAAATTGAAAATTGGAACACTATCATATCACGTGTCATTTTACGCAGTTTAGATAAAGAGACCGAAAGAGAATGGAATCGCTCGAAACAAGGAAACAAGGTTCCTAATTATGAGGATATTTTGAGTTTTTTGAGAGAGCAAGCGACGCGTCTTACATTTATTAAACCAGCAATGACTAATTTTAATAATAATTCGACGAATAATTCGAATGGTAAACCAAAAAATACAAATAATAAGAATAGAGGTCCTGAAAATACCCACTCATTTCTTACTTCAACTGATGAAAAACAATGTGTTATTTGTAATGGAAATCATTTAATAGATAAATGCGATAAATTTCTTGCATTAAACACCCCAGATCGAATTCAAGCAGCAAGAAAGGTTCGTCTTTGCTTGAATTGTTTTCAAAATGATCATAGAACACGTTTCTGTAAGGCTTCTCATTGTTCGATTTGTAAGGGGAGACATAACGATCTCGTGCATCTAACTGAAGAACAACTTCAATCTAGACAATCTTCATCTTGACTATTGTCAAATTCACCCTCTATTATACCTGTCGTTACAACTCTTGTTGCCACTTTACCATCCAGAGATATTATAATTACTGCTGTTATCACTGTCCTTGATTCAAATCTAAAACCGATTCGTTGCCGTACGATTTTGGACACTGGATCCAGCTCAAACTTCATTACTGAAAATCTTGCTAGAAAATTGAATTTACCTCTCAAAAAACTAGAACTTTGTATTGAAGGAATGGCTAACTCTCAATCCAAGACCAATTTTTTGACCACCGCGACAATCAACTCGAGACTCAACAAATATTCAAAAACATTGAATTTTTTAACTGTTCCCAAAATTGGAAATTTATTTCCCAATGAACAAATCAATCGGGATCAATTTGATATTCCAAAGAGTTTACAATTAGCAGATCCAAAATTTTATCAGCCTGCCCCTGTAGATATGCTTTTAAGCGTAGGTACAACTCTGTCTTTAATTTGTCAAGGTCAAATCAGATTGAATGAATCAAATAACTATGATATGATATTGCAAGAAACACGCCTTGGATGGATCATCGGTGGAAGTATACTATCTGATTCAACAAACAATGAGAGATCTCTATTACAAAATCAGCTAACAGGAATAGAAAGAAAATTAAAAAATTTTTGGGAAATGGATGACGTCTTTACTACTAAAATTTTATCTAAAGAAGAACAAACCTGTGAAGAACATTTTATCAAAAATGTTAATCGAAATGAAGACAATCAGTTTTTTATTGCCTTACCTTTTAATGAAAAGGTAAAATATTTAGGAAATTCAAAACAATCAGCTCTCAATCGATTCAAAACTCTTCTCCGAAAATTCAAGCGCAATCCAATGATTGAAGAAAAATATTCAACCGTAATGCAAGAATATATTGATCTCGGTCACATGACCGCAATCGATGAGAACTTTCAAGAAGAAGAAGGTTTCTACTTGCCACATCACGCTGTCATAAAAGATTCCAGCCTCACTACAAAAATGAGAGTTGTTTTCGATGGATCGGCAAAGGACGAAAATGGTCTCTCTCTCAATGACACTCTGATGACCGGACCTACAATTCAACAGGATATATGTTCACTACTAATTCGCTTCCTCACTCATCAATTCGTTTTGACCGGTGACATAGAAAAAATGTATCGGCAATTTTGGGTCAGAGAAGAAGACAGAAAATATCAAAAGATCTGGTGGAAAGATGCCAATGGTAAAGAAAAAATCTTTCATCTAAATACAGTCACATTTGGGTTATCTGCCGCTCCATTTTTAGCCATTCGTTGTCTACACCAATTAGCTGACGACTTTAACAACGAATTTCCAGAAGCTGCAAAGGTGATTAAAGAAGACATATACGTCGATGATTTACTAACAGGCACTGATGAATTCGAATCAGCATTGAATCTCCGAAACGACGTAATAGAATTGTTAAAAAAGGGACAATTAAATATGCGACAATGGGCCTCCAACGACCCTCGACTCTTGGAAGGACTACCTGAAAGTAATGTGAATGTTAAAATGAAATTTTCCGAAGATTCAACAATTAAAACTTTGGGCCTATATTGGAAATCAAATACAGACGAGATTGCATATACCATTCTTCCTATAGCAACAAATGTTAAAATGACTAAGCGAATAATGTTGTCAGAAGTAGCGAAAATATTTGACCCGCTCGGATTCTTGGGTCCAGTGATAATAAAAGGAAGAATGATTCTACATCGTTTGTGGTTAGAAAAACTTGATTGGGACGATGCCGTACCTCTGAGTATTTTTACAGATTGGAAAAAATACTCCAGTCAATTAATTGAACTAAATAACATTTCTTTTGAAAGGAAGGTGATTATTTCAGAAGCAAGGGATATTCAACTTCACGGGTTCTGCGACGCAAGTGAAAAAGGATATGGTGCATGTATTTATATTCGCTCCACGAATATTCACGGAAAAATTCAAACACGTTTACTCTGTTCAAAGGCCCGTGTAGCACCAATAAAAACCACTTCCTTACCTCGTCTAGAATTATGTTCAGCATCTTTGTTATCAGATTTATTCACGTCAGTTCAACAGGCCATAAAACATCAAATTAATCGAATAATTTTTTGGTCAGATTCAATGATCGCTCTTCATTGGATTAAAACTCCACCACATAAATTATTGGTATTTGTGGGAAACAGAGTCTCAAACATACAACAGAAAACTGAAAATAGTGAATGGCGACATGTGAGATCAACTGACAATCCTGCTGATCATCTTCCCCGAGGATTGTATCCAAAGGAATTCATAGAAGATTCAAACTGGAAAAATGGTCCAATTTGGCTCAGTCAAGATGAATCCACTTGGCCAATCAGTGAACTAACTGTTTTACCAGAAATCCCAGAATTACGAAAAACACAATGTCTTATCTCTAACTCGAAAGGAAATTCTGAAACTGAAACTGTTATCAAGGAAAACAATACGGAATGTGTTGAAAATGAAGTACCATGGATCTTAAAATTTTCATCGATTGGTTTTTAAGAAAATTATTCGCGTTCGGTCTACGCTTCAAGAATAAAAATAATGGTCCACTTTCTGCCAACGAATTATTATCAGCAAATGAAAAAATCATAAAATTGGTACAAGAATCAACATTCTCTGAGGAAATCAAGGAACTGAAGAGAAGGGAATGTTTATCACCAAATCATAAATGGAAAAGACTGAACCCTTTTCTCGACGAAAACAGCCTAGTAAGAGTAGGTGGACGATTAAAAATTGCAATATCCCATACTCAGAAAAATATCCTCTATTGATACCCAAGAACCATCACATCACAACCTTGCTTATCCGAAATGAACACATTACTAACTGTCATGCTGGATCACAAACAACATTGTATGCAATGCGAAAAAATTATTGGATAGTCGACGCACAGTGGCCGATTTCCCGAAAAACCTGGCCAAAAGTCAAAAATTTTTTTTTAGAAATTTATACTTTTTATTGTTGAATATTATAAAGGAGGGTTCACTGCATAATTTTGCGAAAAAAAATTACACTTTTTTTATGACCAATTTATTATGTGAACAAGTAAAAGTGATCTTTGCCAGAGATTTACTCAGAACGTTTCATAACTATAAATTTTCGTCACAGTTAAAATAGTGAAAATATACTAATATACAGCAGATTTTTGAATATCTTTTTTTGGGAATTATTAACAAAGGTGTATGAAATATGTTGAATGTATTTATCATCACATTTAAAACGTACAGTTTTTAAAAAATGACATTAAACATCGCTATTCATGGCTACGATTTTTGTATTGTTTTATCAACGTAAATCATGAAAATAATTGTAAAATCCACCGATGTCCGCGCTCTACCTGGTATTATCATAAACTAGAATATATTTTTGATTCATTTTAATTGAAATCAGCTGCCAGAAGCTGCCCCTGCAGTTTTGGTATCACTTTTTATTTCACCCAGCGCGGTTTACCGACAGCGCGTTGCACCGGCCGGCGGTGCAACTGAACATGAAAGACTGACTTTTTCTTCATTCGCATTCGCTTTAAACTAAAATTTAAGCACTGTCTGTAATTTAAAAAAAATAAACTCTAACACATATACGCAATTTTATAATACCAGCAAATATTTTGGATCCGCCATATTGAATTTGATAAAACAAATGTAAAATTTGATTTCAAAAACCCAGTAAACGTAAGTATACTAAGTTTGGTTAAAATCGTACCATTTTTTAATTTTTAACAAAGTTTTTAAACATCTAAACGGCCATTTTAGATCCGCCATTTTGAATTTGAAACAACCAATGTAAAATTTGAATTCAGAAGCCCAAAAAACATGGGTATACCAATTTTGATTGAAATCGTATCATTTTTCGATTTTCAGCAAAGTTTTCTAAAATCTAAACGGCCATTTTGGATCCGCCATTTTGAATTTGACACAACCAATGTAAAATTTGAATTCAGAAGCCCAAAAAACATGGGTATACCAATTTTGGTTGAAATTGTATCATTTTTCGATTTTTGGCCAGGTTTTTCGGGAAATCGGCCACTGTGCGACGGCCGACAACAAGTTCGAAAAACTATCAAAACTTGCGTAATTTGTGTAAGAACTAACCCTCCAAAAAGCGAATATATTATGGGCAATATTCCGAAAGTAAGAATCACGGAAGCAAAACCTTTTTACAACGTGGGAATCGACTACTGCGGCCCCTTCTATATTAAAGAGAAAAAACATCGAAATCGAACTCGAATTAAGGTGTGGGTTAGTGTTTTTGTCTGTCTAGTGGTTAAGGCAGTACATTTGGAAATCGTTACTGATTTAACTACTGAAGGATTTGTTGGAGCTCTCAAACGATTTACAGCAAGAAGAGGCAAACCGAAAAATATTTATTCGGACAATGGCACTAATTTCATAGGAGCAAATAACGAGATCAAGGAATTGTACTCATTTTTGCGCGAAAAGGGTATTAACTGGCATTTTACTCCGCCACTTTCACCACATTTCGGGGGACTATGGGAAGCCGGCGTAAAATCTTTCAAACATCATCTTAAAAGAATTTGTAATGAGTTAGTCACATTCGAACAATTCAATACTTTAATAATCGAGATCGAGGCAATTTTAAATTCCCGTCCTCTTACTCCTATTTCCACAGATCCAAATGATTTAATTGCACTTACTCCTGGTCATTTCCTTACGGGCAATTCATTGATGAGCTTACCTGAACCCGATTTTGGAAAAACAGAAAATAATAGATTATCAAGCTGGGAACTTATCCAAAAAAAACAGCAGGAATTTTGGAAGAGATGGCACAAGGAGTACATCAATGAGCAAATTCTGAGGTCCAAATGGAATAAAGGAAGCCACGACATCAAAGAGGATACTCTAGTTATCCTCAGAGAAGACAACTTGCCACCTCGACAATGGTCCCTGGGTCGAGTCATTCAAACATATCCAGGGAGTGATGGTGTCACTCGTGTTGTGAAAGTGAAAACAGCAAAGGGAGAGTTTGATAGAAACATAAGAAAACTCTCACCTCTTCTTTGTGACTACCCTGAAAAAACGAACATTACCTAGGAACTCTAAAAAAAACAAAATTGTGCTATAAGATTACTACAATTTTTAAATTTGAACAAATCACAATATGTGCTTAAACCTATATTTACTATTAACTTAATTTTTTTTGAAACTATATCATTGTTTTACCCTTCCTTTTGATCAATTGTTATTAAAATTTCTCAAAGGAGGGAATGTGTTCAGTGTCAATTCTTAAACTGAGCTACAAATAAAATCTTAAAACTTATTTTTTTTGTTATCTCAAATGACACATCTGCTATTTTATTATTTTCTATCATTTAGTGCGAAATATACTAAAAGTAATTTGAAATTGTCAAGAAACTAGCCGGGTACGAACCCAGGTAGACTCACAGTACTCAAACCGGGCTCTTAATCCCTTTATGACTCTTTACCTCGACATCTTAGCAGATGAGTCCAATAAAATCAAATGTGTTTTTTTCTTAAACATACCATCTTCAAAATTTTTCTCATCTTTCTCAAAAATATATACATTGTTGCCAAATATATAAATTGTAAACAACGTTGCCAAATTTTTCTATCCAACCTTTTGAAGCATTTTTCAAGGTTTTTGGATCAGTTATCTGTCTACCTCTGAGAGAGCACGTCGCTAAGTGTAAGCTCTACTCATTAATTGCAATTGAAATCTTTTAAATTCAAACATTTAATCTGAACACTTATTAAAAAACTAAACATTTTATTTAAAAAAACTAATTCTGACTTTCCATAATAATTATCAATTAAAAATAAATTAAAGTTTAAGTGAACTGTGCCTTTTTTTATTCCTTTCCTTAAACCAACAGATTGAGTTGCTCACGAATTCTAATCGTCAGCAATAGCTCTCGAACACTTTGACGTACTAAACAAGTATATTCAGATTTACAACCTGAAGAAGGGTTAACTTCCAATTTCATTAAAAATAAAGGTAGTGACTATCGCGTCAAATAACGAGACATTTTCAAATTGCATAATATTGCAAAATAACTTTTTTTCGGGGAGGAAAATGCAAAATAACCCATTTTCAGTTTAAAATTGAAAAAACATGTAACAAAAAAAAGTATGTAAGATTTTCTAAAAGCATATGGCAAAGTATTTTGATTTATTCGAAAATATGTAAAAGTAGATTTTCCAAGGACGGTGTCAAGGTCACGGGGTCGGCGTCGTTTTTGGAAATTTTTTAACTTAATATAATAGAAGATGTTTCGTTTTAAAATAAGAAAGGTTAAAAATATTAAGTTAAAATGAATTCATTTCAATGACACTTAAAATTAGGCACGATATGATAGGTTCCTAACTAAAAATTTAAAAAACAACAGTAAATAATTTAAAAAAACCATAAAAAATTGAAAAAAATGGTTTATATGTAACTTTTTAAAAATAGAGTAATTTTAAAGGTATATATCAAAAAAATCGTAATAAATTGCATAAAATTGCAAAATAACCCTTTTTGGGGAATAAAAAGTTGAAAAAAATTGTTTATATGTAACTACTTAAGAATAGAATAATTTTAAGGGTATGTATCCAAAAAATCGTAATAAATTGCATAAAATTGCAAAATAACCTTTCTTTTGGGATTAAAATGCAAAATAACCCTTTTTCGTATTAAAATTAAAAAAACATGTTACAAAAAAAAGTATGTAAGATTTTCTAAAAGCATATGGCAAAGTATTTTGATTTATTTTAAAATAAGTGATAATAGATTTTCCAAGGACGGTGTCAAGGTCACGGGGTCGGCGTCGTTTTTGGAAATTTTTTAACTTAATATAATAGAAGATGTTTCGTTTTAAAATAAGAAATGTTAAAATTATTAAGTTAAAAACAATTGATTTCAATGACACTTAAAATTAGGCACAATATTATAGGTTCTTAACTAAAAATTTAAAAAACAACAGTAAATAATTTAAAAAAACCATAAAAAATTGGAAAAAATGGTTTATATGTAACTTTTTAAAAATAGAGTAATTTTAAAGGTATATATTGAAAAATTTGTAAAAAATTGCATAAAATTGCAAAATAACCCTTTTTTGGGATGAACATGCAAAATAACCCTTTTTCGGGTTAAAATTAAAAAAAGATGTTACAAAAAAAAGTAAGTAAGATTTTCTAAAAGCATATGGTAAAGTATTTTGATTTATTTGAAAATAAGTGAAAATAGATTTTCCAAGGACGGTGTCAAGGTCACGGGGTCGGCGTCGTTTTTGGAAATTTTTTAACTTAATATAATAGAAGATGTTTCGTTTTAAAATAAGAAATGTTAAAATTATTAAGTTAAAAACAATTGATTTCAATGACACTTAAAATTAGGCACAATATTATAGGTTCCTAACTAAAAATTTAAAAAACAACAGTAAATAATTTAAAAAAACCATAAAAAATTGGAAAAAATGGTTTATATGTAACTTTTCAAAAATAGAGTAATTTTAAAGGTATATATTGAAAAATTTGTAAAAA